CGTTGCTGCGCCCCATCGTTTCTACCATTCCTTGATGCTTATTTGCCTTTCGTCGTTCCGCTCCGAAACCGTTAGTCGCCTTCCTATACTCATGAATCTATCGTAAACTCTTTTGATTGCTATGGCCATTATATCCAGTGGTATGATACTCGCTATGATCCCAGCTGCCTCGTGAAATACTGTGTGGAATGCGCAGGTGACTCTAATGGCACTGAACCGAATTACAGATTCGATTTCTTGACGTAGGTTTTATTCCGCAGTGCTGGTCCCCCTCCACTTTGGCCAATAGCGCATGCTGACTTGATCCACAAGCCGGATTTTCACAGACTTTGTCAATGTGCGTCTTATATTTAAGTCTAGTGTCAACAAGTGGTGATTTTATAGCCGTCGATATTAAGCGTGATGCCTTCGAACCTCTTCCTGCTTGTGATCAGCACTGCTTGAGTTTTTTGTCCAGCAAGCTGAAGGTTTGTTGCAGCTAGCCAGTCTGGTGATTTAGCATTACCAAATCTCTGTGCCGCCTCAATCACATTCACGTCGTTGACTGTTGGGGCATCCATTCCCACATGCCCATCTGCTTGAGCCTGAAGTTTCTCTGTAGGCTGCGCTGGGAGGGCTTGTACGACGTTTTTCAATAGCTTGAGGCAGGTCGGTGTTTACCCTTTGCCGTCTTAGATTTTCGACATTACTCTCTTGTAAGCATCGTCCGACGGATTTTCGTCGATTTTTCCACAAAGTTCTTTGAAGCAACATGCTTTACTCTTTTTGATTGCTTTTTTAAGGACATTGCATTTTCTGCAAAGCGTTTGCGTAGTTCCGTATGATCCGTTGATCCCCGATTCTTTTGGCAGCTCCTCCTCACTTTGTGGCATTCACTTCTTAGGGTATTAATTTCAGTACCTTACCAGTATACGGGTTTTCTGTAGGCTCTACTTTTTCTTCTGCTCATAGAAGAGCCGTGTGATTTGCTAATGTGTCTTACCAGAATCTCCGTCTGCCGATTTGCGTCTTTCGCACATCTCATATTGGCGTCTAGCAAGAGTTCAAACAGTTCTACGTCTAAGGTTTCGACTTGCCACCCTTGCATTTGTACCGGTTTTGCGAGCGTTTTTCTTCGATTCTGGGCGGCTTAGGGCCCGATTTAAAGCAAAATAGCTTGATCATCACTTTAAGTTTAGAGGTCACACACCTGCTAGCTTGCTGTCCGCACCAGGGAGCTGCTAACGAAAGTTATATCTATGATAGAGTCATGACCGTTTTTCTCGAAACTGTTTTTGTTCCCGGTATTTAGAAACACCATGTTTAGCAACGAGAACGACTTTAGCAGGGCATTCCATGCCTGTTTGTACAAATGCTAACCCACTTAATCGCCCATGCATTGAAATCGCCTGCGATCACGTTCATTGTAGTAGTTAATGCTTCTCTCACCAGATCATCTAAGATTTTTTCAAAATCATTTTGAGATACGCTTGGCGGGATATAGCAACTGTAAAAGTTGATCCCACAAATTTTTGTTTGGGTGTAGAAGGATTTCCCTAACAGCGGCTTGTCTTGGAAAGCTTTTCCTTAAGTTTTTGTACTGTTCACTGAGTAAAGCCACATCTACTTTCTGTTCGTATACCGCCTGTTTGAGGAGCTCTTGTGCAGCTTCGCAGTGGTTCAAGTTTAGTTGCATGACTCTCATTTTTTGATATTTTTGCACGCTTCTTGGTACAGGGGGTTTTTCTTACTACCTATTTGATGGTCAGTGTTTTCTCTGCCCTTACTCTTACATACGCTACACGACGGTTTTTTGTCGCAGGATTTTGCAAAAAGACCGCTTTCTCCACACATGACACCACACTGGCTCCTATCGTCGGGGTTATTGCATGCTTTCGCAAATTGTTCGTATACGAGACACCTGAAACAGCTCCTCAGGTTATGCTTCGCTCTTATTCTGCACACTACTCAACCTATTTTAACTTTTTAGGCATCCAGGAGCTTTCTTGTTACCACCCCGGGTTAGCTTATTTGCAGCAGTTTTGTTCCAAGGTACGCCGCCCTGATGCTTCTAATTAAGCTTGTATCAAACTGGTTCAGCTTTTTTATTTGACTGCGTATAGCCTCGGCGATATCCTCTTTGCTAGGGCTTTGTCTCTCGTATTTCTACCATTGTTTCATGGGTTAGTGCTTTTATCTGCGAGTGGTTTCCCAGCACTTTCCCTATTTTAGTCTTGAAATCTCCCGTGGTCTTCATTTGAGCCTCATTTAGCTCAAGCGAGATTTGTCCCTTGGTCGTCTTCTTAATTTTTGAGACATTTTCCCACATTTTCTGCAGTGTGTCATTTTTCGTGACCGTCCTTAAATTGTCGCTGTAGGACATATCATAGGTTCTCTCAATGATTATGGCATCGGGACGATGTCCATTCCAACCATCTTGTTTGCCCATTTCTTCCGCTTTGCACTTGGCGAGGTAACAAAAAAATAGTATTCCTATCAACTGAAGAGCTCTCAGGACCTAGTGGTTGTTATTAAAGGTATAGAGTCTTCGGTAGATTCTAATGAAATCAAAGAAGCTCTTGAAGAACGTGGTTATGACATTAAATCGGTTGTAAATATTTTTGATAGAAATAAAGTACAACAACGAATGTTTACAAAAAAAGAGAAATGAAACACATCCGAGATACAAGTATAATTTAAAATATCTATTTAAAAATATATTTGTGTAGTATTTGGTGATTTACATCCTACATCCAAATGCAACCTCTAGAGATAGGATTTAAAGAAAAAGTGTAGTAATTGTGGAGGAAAGCACTCTGCTTATTATAGGGGTTACTTTACGAACAATTCAAAAGTTCCTTTCCTGTGGCGCCATCTGTCTGAAATTGTTATCCCTCAATTGTGTATTCTTCAGTGTTGTCGTATAAAATTTATATAACAGTTGACTTGTATAACAGCTGAGATATCGCGCTACATGTGACATTACATTTGTAGTGTCGGTCGGAAAATGAGCATCGAACAAAGAGCCAACATTAAGTTTTGTTTTAAACTTGGTAAAACTTTTACCAAAACTCATCAAATGATGAAACAAGTTTATGGCGATGATTGTCTATCCCGTCGCCGTATTCACGAGTGGTTTAAACGTTTTCAAAGTGGTCGTGAGGACATAAATGAGAAATGAGTGGAAACCCAAAAAATCGCGCCTGGAGAAGTCAAAAGTGAAGACAATGCTGATTTTTTATGATTCGAAGGGTATTGAGCACAAAGAATTTGTTCCACCCGGCCAAAACGTTAATGCGGTGGCGATTATTTGACCAGAAATCAAATTTTAACAATCAACCACTCCCCGTATTCACCTGATATGGCATCGTGCGACTTCTACCCTTTCGGAAAACTACATTTGGCCATGAAAGGAAACCGCTATGCTGACGTTGATGCCATCCAAAAGGCGACGACCGCCATCCTCAACGCTATACCGACAAATGACCTAAAAAAGTCATTCGATAACCTTCTTGAACGTGCAAAACGTTGTATTCAGGCGGAAGGAGACTATTTTGAAGGCGACCAATAAATTTAAAAAAAAAAAAACAAATAATATTCGTTTTTTAATAAAAGTCCTGAAACTTTTGAATTGCACACACGACGCACCACATCACACTCAACATTTGATAACACTAAACATGATGACACACCACACAGCAACTTAACAAAAAGGACGGGATCATCGCCCACACCTCAATTCGCGAAACGCATTAGTTTTCGTCTACGAGTGATATGTTTTATCATTAGTGGTGTGTGCTCCCTAGCAAATTTGGTCAACCCAAGCGATAAAACTACGGCAAGCCGCACCTTTCAGAACTCGTAATGCTGATGCATTTCGGACATATGCGTTACCTACATAAATACGATAAATTTCATAATAATATATAATTATATATTTATAACAATAATATTAAAGCCGGGTCAACCTTGTATACGATACAATCGCATTTTTATTGTGTGTGCTCCCTAGCAAATTTGGGAATTATTCACAAGTAAATAAATTTACTAACGAAATTAGAAGAGCATTCGAGTACAGAGAGTATTGTTTAGCAATATTCCTTGATGTAGCTCCTTTCGCATTGCATAAAATATTGGAGACTTATCTAAAAAATTATAAATTTACTACTAAAGTAGCTAATTTCATCTCAGATGAACGTCCGAAAAGGGCTGGTGTACCTCAGGGGACTGTGCTAGGCCCAACACCATCCAGTAGATATGCCAACCGGTAATTATGTATTGAAATCGACTTTTGAGGTGACACGGTCATACTTGTAGTATGCCGTAATGAATGTTTCATCAGAGCGTCAGGAATACTAGAAGAGCAATTAGCTTTGGCCAAAGAAAGGTTAGCCAACTGGCGAAAACATGTAAATGAACAAAAGCGTAAGCATGTTACATTCTCACTAAGGCAAAATATGTGTCAGCTGGTTAAAATAAAGAACATCTTAGTACCACAAGCAAATGATGTTACCTATTTTGGCATTCACTTAGACATAAGGCTCACATGGAGAAAACATATATCCAGCAAATTAACTAGCATGAAAATAAGAGCAGCTAATTTGAACTGGCTTTTAAATAAAAATTCTAAACATAGCTTTCACCGTGGTAAATTTGAATTGAAAACATTCACAAAGATCTTGGTATCCTTATGGTAAAGAAGGAAGTAAAGGACAGCAAAAATATATACAAGCTTAAACTCCGGGAACATCCAAATCCATTAGCGAATGCCTTGCTCCCGCTCAAACCCGCTTGTAAAGAAGAGACCAGACTTATAAAGAGCAACATGTTAGTAAAAAGGTTCAAGCACAACCTTGAGCTTGTTTAGTTTTAAATAGATTTAAGATTTTATTACTTTATATGAGGCTATAAGCAATAGCAGATTTAATAAATAAAGTAATGCTAAGAAAAACAAAATATTCCAAAAGTTTAAGATAAATATTAAAAAAATACTATAATTAGTAGTAAAATAAAAAAGTTAATTATTTAAATATTTTGTTGTCTTTAATTTGTTCCTGTAAATCTTTCTTCACACATTTCCGTAATTAAATTTAAAGCGATATCTATTAATTCATTTGAACAAATATAATTTCAAAGTCCAGTGGTTGTTTATTAATGAGCAATTTTTCCGCCAATACCTTGTACTTCGTTGCATAAATCTGTTGCATCTACTTATATCCGTAAATCCAACGTGAGTTAACGACTAGTGAGCACTAGGTTTTCAAACCCTCAAAAGTTTCTTGGCGCTTAAGTCATTGATCACGTAGACGCCAATCCACGGTATTATGAGCTATATCCATGCAGAGCGTATAAAGAAAGGCCATCACATTTTCAATGAAATGTTTATTTGCCTAGAAAAATATTTAAAAAAAATTTTTAATAAAAAAAATATTTCTTTTTTAGGTGTTAGTGCTTGAATAATGTGTAATTGTGTTAATTTCTGGGGAAAGTGGTTAGCCGTGACTGGCACGGAAATCAACAAAATACTTGCAATCAACGCATAACGAACAATACATCATACAACAACCACTGAGTCCTACTATCAAAAAAAATTAACAATACTCCCGTTAATGTTTATAATAATGTATTAGAATACGAATATATGAAACTATGATTTTTGTATATTATATACAAATGAAATAAAGTAATTTTGTAAATAATTTTTTGTTTTATTGAAATAACTTTACGGTGGCTCTTATGCCACGGGGGTAATGCAATATTTCGAAAACTCTGGTCGAAGTGCAGTTGGTACTATGGGCGAAGATTGTTGGTGGAGACGTCGCAAATAATTCCTTTGCCTCCCGGACCATAAATTTAAATCATTTATCCAACGATGATTATGCGAGTGAAAGTTCATCATGGTCGATGCACATCGAAAGGTGCATTGTGTCAATGCATGAAAACGTGTCAGGCATATTGTTATCGGCGCTTGTAATATATTGGATGCTTATTGTGAATTGGCTGATGAATCCCAATTGTCTGATTTGTCGAGGCGAAGATTTATCGGACTGCTGGTGGAAAGCGAAAACAAGTGGTTTGTGGTGAGTCCGCGAGCTGCTTTTTGACTGCAATGTTTCGCTTCTTTTGTCTAAGAATTTTACGTTGAGAGTGTTGTTGATTGCTTGAGGCTATGAGGAGGGTATCAATGTTTGAGTAGGCAAAATTAATTTTGGAAAGTACATCGTTAATGAAACGACTGTGCGGCGTTGCGAAGCCCGAACGACATGCGGTCAATTTCAAAGAAACCAAGCGGGGTGATTACTGCAGTTTTGACAATGTCTTCCTCAGCTACCGGAATTTGGTGGAACGCACGGTGTAGAGTAGTCGTTTAGAAGAGATATTGGGTAGCGATCTGGAGTTGTTTGTGCGTTGAGCCTGCAGCAATCGCCGCATGGTCTCCATTCGCCATTTCTTTGTTTAGCCATATGTAGTGACCTTGCTAATGGTCCTTCGGATGGTCTTGCGTGGCTAAGTTCAACCATCTGCTATAATTCTTGTTTGGCTATATTGAGCCGTTCAGGGCAAAGCGGACAGCATGTTTGGTTAGTGTGCACTTGGATGGATCGCCCAACAATTCAGGAAAGTCCTTAAAAATTTGGGTGAATTTCGTACATTTTCTGGCTTGCGCTTTAAACTTGCGGTGGTCGTAGCAAATTAACGGTGGTGGGCTGGAAAGCGTTTGTGTTGTGCCATGGGGTAGCTGTTCTTTAACTGATGGTGCGCTCGGAATAATGTGGTTGACTTAACAAGCCAGGCTCTCTAGCTGTTTGGTTAGGTCATTTGCTTTTTAATAGAATTATCGAATCGAAACTTTGTTGTTTGGCAATATAATTATGTTATCCGAGGCTTTCTGAATTTCTACCACCTTATTTTCTAACAAGGCGAGTTTGTCGTTGCCGAGCTCCCATGATGCGGTCAGCGCTATCTGTACGTACTGTGGTAGACGATCAAGCCGGATGGTTCGTGTAAATAGTCTGAGTCAGCGTCTAGCTGACTGCCACCTAGCCGTTTGATTTCTGTTAAAAGTTCGGAGGGGCGCCGGTCGCCTAATTCCACTCTCGATAGTAATCTTGGGAAATTTAAAAATGGTTTATTAGCGGCACTTTGATTGTAGGATATTTATTGGCATTTGGTGGGTCAAGGCTGATGTCCTCAACCACGATGGGTGTATCTTGATCGAGGCGAGCAACTAGTTCTTGTTGGGATGGTGCAGCGATGGAATCGAAAAACTTATCCGTTTGAGTTTCATTGCTGTAAGATGTTTTAGTCGGGTCTACTTGATCGGTTTACATTTTACAAAAGCAAAATCGACGCGTGTTACTCTTTTTTTTTCAAGGAAACGGAATGCTGTTTCACGGGGTCACTAATTGTATGTAGCGACTAACGTTACTACATACATATATTTATTAAATGTTATTAAGAAACGATTTCAATGACACTTGGAATTTTAACTTAAATATTTTCTGTTCTTGTAAGCGTATGACTTGTCCACTTCAGGATATTTTCTGAAATGATTTCGCTTGACATAATGGTGTAAAGAAAAAGTATTAATAATGACATATAAAATCCTGTCACCAGATATGGTCAGTGTGGTGACTCTATATACTATTTTGTGCCATTTTCACTTATTTACTTGACATTACTTTAATTTTTTACTTTCCACTTTATTTGTTTGTTTAATTTTTTTCACTTTGACGAGAAGGTTCAATTGCGGACCAGCGTGAGAATTGTCAAAACCTAACAAAATTCTATTAGTGGATTTCACCACATCTGGCTCGGAAGAAGAAATTTCAACAGTGGCGCGTAAACAGAGCTGAGAATTCAATGAAAATTATGCCCAGAGACAGCTGCATGTTAGCCTTTTGGCTTATATTTTTATACGTTTATATGCAATGCAATTAATATTTTGCGAATTTTTATGAATGCATGCAAAACTGATAAGATTAAATTATGGAATTTCGAAATATTATTTATAGTCAATTTGGGCATTTAATAATTTTATTTAGTTTTTACCTAATATACATTCCTAATAAATATTTAGTATTATAATAATGGAGATTAAATTTATTACACTATGTATATATTTTATCATATTAATCTTATAAGGTCATATGTATGTACGTATGTATTTGAATGTACGCATTCAGAAATTCAAATCATGATTTTATCACTTATCTATGTATACATAAAATTGCCGAACAAATAATGCATACACAAACCAACATACATACATATGTAAATGCGTACACATGTAAATATGTCACCCGCAAAAACTACAAACATTGTTCTACAAAAACAGCAGTCGTCACAAGTGCAATATGTTAGCCAAATAGGCGAAGCCCAAATTTATAGTAAATTACACAACAACATGTTCATTCATGAACGCAGGCGTACTTTTAACAAGCAACCTCGCTTCATTCATAAAAACAGATACCCCCACATATCCCCGAACATGCTTTTGCCAACAAGCGTCTTTTCGCGACGAAGGCAAAAGCTAAAAATCATAAATTAAACAAATATCTGATATTCCCTCTAGAAGGGAAAAGTGACAACCCCGCAAATATGAGTATTAAAATATTTTAGAATAAAAGTGACAACATAGTATATTTGTCGATTTACAATTCAAGAAACTTTTCAAAGAAAATATTCTATATTCCTCTGTTATCACTCCTCCAATCCCTCTTATCTGAATGTGTCTTGCTGCATCTCACTTTTTTTTCTTAATTTTTTAAGGAAAACGGTAATTTTTTTTAAATACATAGAAATTCTTTATTTGGTACCACTCGTTTATACACAAAAAATCTGCATCTTTGGTTTTAGCAGTTAACCGGTCTGTATTTGTCAAAAAATGTACGTAAGTACGTATGTAAATATTCGAATTTTTTGTACACACATCTGCCCGTATATATGCACATGACTTGTTGACTTTGTTTCCATTTACGCATGCCACGTTGTATATGAATAGGGGTTGATTTTGCACTTGCCATATGCGATGTATGTTTGTAAAAGTGTGTATGATTCTGATTTCTCATGAAACAATGAGTGTACATATTTACATACATAGTTGCATGTAGACAAATTAGCAATTATAATGGGTACTTTCATATTTGTTTACACGCACACATAATTATACTTATGTATATATATGTACATATAAAAAATTTGCGACCGCTTGGTCTTTTCCTATCGGGTTATGTCAAGCAAGAGGTGAACAAAATCAAACCCAGAAATCTGACTGAACTGAAGCAGTCCATTAAATACATATTTGAGGCAATCCCGATTTCAACCCTTCAGCCCGCATTAATTTTCTAATCAGGTGTCGCATATGCTAGGCTGAGCATGGAGAAATAATGAATTCTATAAAAAAAGATTAAAACTTTCTATACAATACAAAAAAAATTGATAAAAAAGAAACTTATTACGGTTTATTTTTGTAGCACGATTCGTTAGCCACCCTGTATAGGTAGAATATCTTCGTCGTTTGCGCATTGTAAATATACGAATCTGTAAGCGAACATTAGCATTACTTTTCTCAATTAGCATGGAAAATGCTTAATTCTGCTATTTTTCAGCCCCTGATGTTAATTGTGGCCATTTGGTGCAACAGAGAACTTAGAAGAACGAGAAGGTGCAAATTGAATTTTGTATGATGCTCGATTGGACGGCTAACAGAGCTGAAAAATTAAGATCAAGGACTTCACCATTTTCTGTAGTATTTGCTGTTATTTAACAGAAATAAGAATTTATAACAACGTTCTCTGACAAAATACGTTCTCTGACAAAATACGTATATGAAAAATTAAATACTTTGAACAAAAAATACAAATGATACTTCACATATGCATGATTATTTTTTGCCATATAAACGATTTTTATGATAAAAAATTGATAAAATATGATTTTTTTGCACAAACGCTACATTGATAAAATATGAAAGATTATGCAAAAAATGATATTTTACTATTTTCATAATTTTCTAATTTCAATTGTTACAGAATTAATAATTTATGTGTGTACATATGTATGTACATCAATATGTTATATTATTGTATAAGTTAATCTATTTATTGGTAGATTCTTTTAAAAAAACAAATTTTTGTTTTTTGCGAGCGGGTTGCTCACTTTATTGTTTCAAATAAAAATTAGAACTAAACTACATTTTTGGTCTTACAGCTAATTTATGCTAGTAAGTCACGTTGTAAAGCAGGTGCAATTGCACATTGTTGTTGTTGTGGGCTGGCTGGCCAGACGTTCTCATGTGGCGACGGTGTGGAGTCAGAATTTTGGCAATTGCGCGTGTGGTGTTGTTGACTGTGAAGTTATTTTGTTGCCTAAGCTAAGGTAGATCGTG